ACTGTGGGACTAGAGGATGTGTTGTTAATATAAGTCGTAGAACATGCACATGTGGACTATGGCAACTAACTGGGATTCCATGCCCATATTCTATTGCTACTATTCAAAGGGATAAATTAGAGCCTGAATTCTATGTTGATCCTTGTTATAGCAAAGAAGCATACTTGAGCACCTACAACTACACTATAGCTACAATGCCCTCTAAAGAGTATTGGGATTCAAAAGGAGTTGAATAGGTGAATCCTCCAAAATTAGAAACAACCTGGAAGGCCCAAGAAAGTGAGAAGAAGAGAAGTTGATGAAGTTAGAAGCGCTACATCTACGAGAAAAGGACTAGCTGTGCACTGTATGAAGTGTTTTAGGCCAGGACATAATTCTAAGACTTGTAAATTCCCAGTCCATCCAAAGTCCAAGTTTTATAAGGTAAATTGTAGTAGTTAATTTGTAATCAATGTTACCATCTCTTTTCTATTTTTTCTAAATCTGTAGTTAATTTGTTACTATTAAAATAGGCGCTTGGTAGAGCTAGTGATACTGGAAATGCAAGTAATGATGTTGCAAATGAAACAGATATTGCTAGAAATGCAACAAGTATTGGATCTGTCTCACAACAGGATTCAGTGTCATAGGTACTATTAATGATGCTGATTATTACTTTGTTAACTGCAATTTACTGACTTAAATCTATCTATTTATGTAGCCCTATGGAACTTCTGCTACTGAAGCAGTTTTAGATACTAGAAGATCAACTTCTGCTGTTGAACCTATTTTGGATACTAGAAGATCAACTAGAGTCAGAAAACTTGTACCAACAGTTGCAAGTGTGCTAGAAAATTTGAGGGCTAAGAGAGCTAAACGTGTTTGATGACCATTGGTGAAGGAGCTGAAATTGCTGAAATTAAACTATTTGTCTTCAATGCTTTTTGTTAATAGTTTGTTGCTGGACTTTTTGTTGAATCTCGGTGTCTGCTGGACTTTTTGATTAGGTACTTATGTAACTTATTTTGTTTTGTAAAAACTGGTTGATGTATTACTAGATTTTTGTGAACTTTTGGACAGCTATATTGTCAAATGAATCCAAAGTTCAAACTATGAGTACCAAAGCAAGTTATGCCAACTGGAAATCTTGTTTGCCCATTTATATCAATTGACTACCAAAATAGGTTCATTCATTCATTGAAGACAACAAAGTAATCCATTTGAAGACAACAGGTCCAGATTTACAGCATTTTCATTGCCATAATTCATCTGATATATTTTCACTTGAACATCAAAATGAGAAATGATAGCACAGATATAGCAAAACAAGCACCCACACAAATCTTCATGACTCCTAAGGTTTTTTCAATGTTTTTCATTTTCCTCAAATATAAACCACTATCCACGCGCAAGCCTTCCAAATCTGAACCATCAATACTGGATTCTCCACTAAAGATTTCTCTAGTTGTAACATTCAAATCACTAGTGTAATTTTGTCTTATTCTCCTTGTTGGATTGCACCATGAGAAAAATTCACAAGTTTTTGTCGCACAAACAAAATATAGCCTTCCTTTTGAAGGTTTGTTGGATTCAACAATGTTTACCACTGTTTTCCTCCCACATGCACAATGCAGGTATTGGTACCTTAGATCTTGAGTGCTTCCACCAGCACTGCTTGAGCATGACATCTAGAGTTTATTGAAAAAAAAATTAATAATCCATTCAAGTTATATCTCAAGAAAAAGGAAATGACTGCACCTTGATATTATAATTCACCTTTAGATCTCCTTCTTTCTAAATCTTGGTTTGGTTTCTTCAGTAAATGTATTGCCTTCACTAAGATTCAATGGAAAGTGTACTTTCATTTCATGGAAAGAGATAAGGAGTACAGATCTGAGGCTTTATTGGGTGAGTTAAAGTGGTCAGGAGTAATATGGGAATATTTCTTAATGCTACCAGTAGTACAATCACATATATAGCATTTTTAAGCCACTAATCGTCACGATGGGTGCTTTCCAACTGCTTGACACTTCAACCCAAATCACAAGGGGTTTATGTATAGCTTTTAAAATCATTTTTTGGTTAAGTGGTTTTTCTGGAAACCGTAGGGGGATAAAATGTAATTTGCCCTTTTTTTTCCATTGACTTGGCATAAAAAAGGCCTCCAATGTTTTCAGAAATTCACGGTTTGTTGAAATTGATTATGCATCTCTCCATTTTGTAAACAAGTTTCTTAGCATCCCAAAACTGTAGGGACAAAATGCCTATAATGATCTCGGAAAAAATTGAGACAGAAAGAAGGTGCATTTTTGAACACTAGATATTCGTAGAAAGTTGAGATGAAGTTCATAATCTATGAATAGAGGTGTTTCCATTATGTAACATAATAGGTAATAGATGCAAATCTTTATTATGCGAGTGTAAATAAGAAATTTTGAGTTTAAGTTCTCTCGCTTATAGGAAAAAATAAAGATAATAAATCTAAAGAACTTTAGAAGAAACCTTGAATACACTCAAGGAAACGTTGATGAATTAAAGTGACAAAGTGTTTATTGTGATAAAGTATATCAAAAGCTTGACAAGAATGAAATACAACCACCCTAAATTGTACATGCAAAAAAGCTAGTAAGCTGGTAGAAAAGTATTAGAAAAAGTTAAATAATAACTTAAGAGAACTATTTATTAATTACGAAATACTAAGAAAACTTCTCATGCAGCCAACATAGCATCATGCCCGAAGACAAACTTCGCATGCAACCGACAACGGATCCGGTTGAAAACCAAATTGTCACGTATAAAAGTAGGAAATAATAATAAAAACAAATTAAAATATTTAAACAGAATTATGATGACTATCCAAATTATGGACCCTAAAGAGTTTTGGGCAACTATATGGAGGGGCATAGGCTTAGGGTGTTTTGACAAAATTCAAGTCTGAAAACTAAAATATAAAATTTGAAGTTTGAATTCATTAATTTGAAGTTTGAAGTTTGAATTCATTTGAGCTTACATCACATTAATGATAATTGAATAACTTATCTATTATTTTTTGAAATTAAGTTTTGTCTAAAAAATTCAGTGCTATTTAATTAATTCAAATGCTCTATTTTTTGTTATCAAATGCAATTAAACATATCATTTGAACCCATTAATTCAGATGTTCTATTTTTTGGGTTCCTTGTTCTACATCAGATCATCGAACACCTTTTTGGTGAAAATCATTAATCAGTCTGACTTCTAAAATGTCAATTTTAGGCTTTATAGACACCGTTTACGCATAATGAACTAATCGTAATATTATTGTTACTTGCATGGTACCAACTACAGAGGAAGGAAGGAGATCATAGGGTGACCTGCATTCCAAGAGTCCCATCGATTCGAATTGCAGATTTTCCTAGGGAACTATTCGACCATGGTGAAAGTCAGATTATGGCCGGCGAGCTCTAGAAGTTATTCCTGTGGCAGCCAAGGCAGATTTATCTTCTATTGAGCTGTGCCTATGAACTGGAGTCCCAACTCCAAAGTCATAGACAGTCTCTAGGCAGAATTGCCTAATCCCATTTACTCCGTAGGCCTAGCAATGCCTTCTTTCAAGATGAAAAACAGCAGCAACAACAACTATATTGCATGGTTAGATGCTCAACCTAGCTAGAGCCTCCGTATTGTACATTGCTCAAGGGAGCTTTCTATCTGCATCCGACGAGCAGTTGGCTGAGATAATTGCTGGAGTTCTTGACAGTGGAATTAGATTCTTTTGGGCGGCAGCCCGCGAAGACATATCTATGTTTCAAGCAAGTTGTGGTGATACTGGTAAAGGACTAGTTGTGCCTTGGTGCGACCAACTGAAAGTATTGTACCACTCACCCCTCAATAGGTGGAATCTGATCTCATTGCGGGTGGAATTCTGCTAAAGAAAGTGCATTTGCTGGCGTTCCAATACTTACATTCCCATCAGCATGGGATCAGTACACAGACAGCAAGCAGATCGTGGAAAACTGGAAAATTGGTTGGAGGGTAAAGAGAGACGATGGAGTTATGGTGAGAACTGAGAAGAGAAGAAATTTCCAGGATTTTGAAGAGATTTATGGACTTGGAATGTGATGAAGGGAAAGAAATTAGGAGAAGAGCCCAACGAATCAGGGAGATCTGCCAACAGGCAACAGCAGAAGGTGGATCTTCTGAACTTGAGATTAAAGCTTTCCTCGAGGACATAGCAAAATTCTCAAAGTTCTTAGGACGCAATTGCAGATTCTTTTTTATTTCATCTCAGGATCATAATATGACCACTGTACGATAGTGAAAAGCAACAATCTTGCAAAAGATTAGAAAGCTAAGAACATATAGACAAAGCTTAAACTAGAGATCATATAGATTGCAGAAGTCCTGGATAGAAAACACTATGAGTTAAAATCGACCTCCTCCTCCTCATTCTGCCATACACCGACCAAAAATCACTGAATTTGCTAATTTCACGAACTTATCACTTCAAATCATGCTTTGATAAATCAAAACTACTGAATTCTACAAGAAGACAAGAACATATAATTTGTAATTAAATATTAAAATTACTTTTGAACTTGATAATTTAGAAGTTCTGAATAGCAAGCAAACTTAATCTCCAAATACATAGGCTGTTGCAAAGCATGCGACTTTTCATTATTCAGAAGTCATCTTTTTACCAGGAATCTGATTTATTAAATCATTTATAACAGCATCGACTAGAAAACTATTCTATTCACTAACAGATTACGTAACAAGCAAGAAACTTGGATAAAAAGTCTTACCCAAAAAAAAAAAAAATTAAATGCCAGCCACACAGCAATATTTAATAAAGTAAAATTGTAAATGGGAATTTAAATTTGATGTTCTTTGCCGAATAAAAATCAGCAGAATATCTAGCTCATACAAAACTAGTCAAAATTGCCCGAAGAATTACCTCTTTGATTGGCCCAAAGAGGAAAAAAAAAAACTCAACAGTCAAAAATTAACCAAAGAGGTAACCCTTTCAGATGAAGGAAATATTAAAATTGATATTGCTGCCAAGAGGAAGAAGAAGGGTTGTAAGTTAAGGGCTGCGGTGAATGGTATTCAGGTCCAAAAGCTTGCAGTGGCAGTGGACACAACTGAGGCAGACTGCCTTCATCAAACCGGTGAGGCGCAAGCGTAGTGGATTGCATCGATGGTCCTGCAGAGAAATTCATGCCTTGCATCAATGGTAATCCAGATAAATTCATGCCCTGAATCAATGGTAATTGAGGGAAATTCATGACTTGCAATTGAGGCATCACGCTCAACATTCCAGTTTGATAATTACTGCTGTCAAACCAGGGAAATTGATGAGGGAATTGAACGTTGGGAAATTGAACATTATGGATTCCTAAGTTGGATAAATTGATTCCACCGTCAAAATTATTAGAACTGTTGAAGTTGAACTGCATAGGAACATGTTGGACAATCTCCTGATTAGCTGATGCTCCTCCCAATAATCCCATCTCAGAATTGTCTGAAGAATCACCAAATATTTGTGGGTTTTCAAACAAATTTTGTTTGAACATCGTTTCCAAAGAGGGGGCACTCTGTTCTGGTGCTGCACCTAATTGGGGTTTTCCAGTGCCTTGGGAATCTGATGCTTCTCCCACCTCCGGCACGTTCCATAATTCAGTAAAATACTTCTCGTGCAGTGTTTCTTCTTCACCATAAAAATAAGCAACTTCTTTACCCTTATTTTCACTCAAGAAACCCTTTTTCTTCTCCAAAGATTCAAGCTTTGAATTAATCACTTTTACAATATCTTCAGCAAAGGCCTTTGATGAACTATTTTCCCCCTTCTCCTCTTGTTTTCTGCAGCCGTTGTTGGAACCAAAATCTTCATCAATCTTAGCCTTTTCTGCCGCATTATCAACAGCCTTTCCAACCTTGACACTTGATTCAGAGAACCTCTTGATCTGGCAGCCTTTCTTGGCAGCCAAATCTTTGTACATGGCTATGATTTGTCGCACATCATCAGGGTTTCTAGGCCAAGTCTCAACCTGCCCACTTGGTCCAACAACAACGATGCAAGCCTTGATACCACACAACACAGATAGTTCCATTGTCTTCTTCTTAATACACTCTTTTCTTTTCTTGCAAGACAAGCTTTCAACTTTGGTGCCATGCTTCGTTTTCTTGGAACACGAGCTTTCGGCCTTGGTGGCCTGCTTGTCTTCGTTCATCATGGAATTGTGCTCTAGGTTAGTGCTGGCCACCATGGCTGTTGCTTGCTTTCTAATATTAGTAATTGTCACTTGAGCAACGGCTAAACCTGGGACATAAATAAGGTGACAAAGAGTGTAGTTTCCTAAAGTGAAGTAACAGGAATTTTTAGGAAATTTTAATGAGCTTTCAGGCAATATTTTTTCTTTCCTGCTATAGAAACTTGACAAAATTCCATTGTCCCTTCATCCTTGAAAAATTTTTCTTTTTACTCTAAGCCTTTCAATATTTTTTATGATATTTTTAGGTTGATTTACTATATTTAACTTCTTATTGGATGTTTTGAGTACTACGTATTATTCTCTTACAACTTTATTTTTTGTCTCAAGAAAATTCTCTTAACAGACATTATGGATGCTGAATATTACCTATTATTTCCTCAGAACTTTATTTGTTGTCTCAAGAATTAAAAAAAAAAAACTTAATAAACATTTTGAGTCATATAACTGCCTTATTATGTTTTGCACAATTTGACTCTTGCTATTATTTTGTTGAAATCACAAATTGTGGTGAGAAAGAACTTACAAGTACAGAAATTGGGTTTAAAATCTTTTATTTTGATTTGCTATTAGATACTAAGACTGAATAGTTAAGCCAAACAAGAATAAAAGAAATTGACGTGGATCGTAATTTTAAAATGACACAAGTAGAATAACAATTTCCTATGAATAAGTTCCTCCCGTCCTCCCCTTCAACCACCAAAAATTCAGAGTCCACCATCACATAAAGAATATGCTCGATGAATTACTGCTTTCATGTGGAATATGTTAACGTTTCTTCTGTTCATAAATGCAAATGAGCACGTAAGGTTAGGAGGAGCAAAAAGATGTAAAAGGACTAGTGAATCCATGCACTATTTATGTCAAACTTCTACCCAATATAGAACAACTATAAGTACTCTCCACATTGACAAGCATTCAGCCAATGACCGACACTATTTTAGTTGCATTCTTACAATGGAGAGATTTGGACTATAGTGTTCCCATTTGTCAAAAACCAGATGTTCACTAATTTAGCATCTGAACTTGACAAGTGATCAGAAAGCTGAATGACAATAAGCATGAATATCTGAACTTTTAGTATAACTAAAATCCTGTAACAAATTATGATTAACATCTGCATCTGATGTACTGGGATCACAGTGCAATTCATTCAGCATAATCATAATTAATGTTGTTAAAGGCACCTTCAGCATTGCAACTCCTCTGTACGGGATTTCTGCAATTTTCTCCAGTGAGAAAGTACCTCACAAGAACAACACTACTGCAGCTGAATTTTAAGACCATCTTTCCCACTTTTCTCTGCCACCCTGGCAGAGTTGAGTTTCCTATCAGCTTTCAGAGACAACTCTGCCTGGGATGTTTTGAACAGAATCAAACTCTTTCTTTTGTATTGCCAATTCTAAAATCTTCTCTTAAAGTCTCAAGTTTCTGCACTTCTCCAGCTTTTACCCTTTCAAATCAACCCGATCTGCCCCTACTTCCATTTGATTCAGAATCAAATTAAGCTATTTAATATGACTCTACCCTTGAAAAGCAATATTTTCAAGTTTTTCACCAACAAAATTTCGAATAGTAGCAAATTTGTTTTGTGCCAATTCTACCTTTTGCAAAAGCTCTAGGATCAATTTTTCTTTTTCATCCAGTTTCTTAAACCTCTTCTCAACCCACTTTCTCCTTGAAATGAGTTCTTCAGAATTTTTACTTGCTGATTCTTGAACAGGCTTCAAGTCCGTCTCCCCAGACTCAAGTTCACCGAAGAATCCACTGACAGAATTCTGGATCATTTTTACATGGCCTTCAAAATCCTTCCATTCAAGCATCACGAAATCCATCACGCTTTGGAGGTTGTTTTTCTTTTCTTCAATGAGCTCCACAGCATCAATCTTATCCACAACACCAATAATCTCAGTTGGACTACTTTCTACTGAGAGGGGAGATTTTACTGACACCTCTATTTCTTGGTTATTGCCCACTTGCAGATCCATCTGGTGCGTTTTCAGTGCTGACAAGTTTACACCATCATCAGTTGGAACAGGTGCATATACAGTTGCTTCAGCATTTGGTAGCGAAGCATCCTCTCCCAGAATTTCTTGTACATGCACTGGCAAATCACCTAGCAGTCTCAACTCATGTTTTCTCAAATCTTCTCCATTCTTTTGCGAGCTTTTCTCTGTGAATGTCAAATCTTCTTCTTCTTCTCCTCCTTCAGGGATAAATGTGAGCACATCTTCAGCTGTTTCTTTAAATGGTATTTCAGTATCCAAATTATTATTCACCCATTTTTGCACACCCAGCTCATTTTCATTCTCAAACTGATTAAATGACTGCTGCTGAACCAATGATTTCCCAGCCCTGGCTCTTTTCACTCCCACAGTTAATTTGCTCCTTCTGTTCCCATTCAATAAAATATCCTCTGATCTACTACAATCATGATGCACCGCTGTGCTACTTTTACCACAGAGAAGTTCACCCACATTTACTACCCTGCTTTGGAAGGTCAGAGGTACATTGGATATTGCAGCAAGCACAGCCTGAACAAGTAATATTCATATCTCAGCATTCAAAACTGAAAATTTTCTAGCTACTAAAAACATCAGCATGTCTTGCTGACATGCTAACATAAGATTCAATTACAGCATAGATTTCTTGTTATCTCATATCAACTCACAAGACTATCATCACAAGAAATCATAATCAAAGGGTTTCAAACAGAAACTAGGATGTATATATTATAATACCGCAACATCTACAAAGCCGCTGTTTGCTAATCTGACAAATAGCTCATCACGCAAATCAACGACATCATGGCATGTGTTGACATTATCATCAAACTGTGCCTCAACCTGTAATGCATCAACTGTAACAGTTAACAACATAGAAATGATAATCTCAAACAAGCTTTATTTGATTGCAGAAGACATATGACTATGCAATTACTTACTACCTTTCCAAAACCGTACTGCCTGTGGGTATTCATCTCTATGTTAATTCTTTCCTGGATTACACTATCAGTCCACGCCTTCACACGTGGCATTGTCCTAGGTACATGGTGATTTAGGATGCTAACACGGTCCAGATAGAATACCTATCAAACATATTACTATTAGCATACCGTCCAACCAATAACATATGAATTATGAAAAGCAAATTGCAAATTAAACATTTTCCTATTAATTAATTGCATCAACTGTAGAATTGACAACACTTGCCATCAAGAAAAAAATACATCCTCCAACATATTTTCTTCTTTTTAGCTGGAAATCTTGTAACTGCGAGCATAGCTTGATGCGAACGTACTCTGCCCAATTCATATTTCTAATTTCTTCAACTGAATGCAAACATCTCCAGAGTTTCGTAGTATGTTCAGCCCTTTTGCTTGGGGCCAGCAAGCATCCACACACAAATATCACAAACTTCTTCTTAAATTCTTCCCCTGATTCCATACTAATCAACTCCTCAAGAAGATCAATCCATTTGTACCTTCTTGGAATAATACCTACCTCCTCTTCTGATGCATCCTCATCTTCTTTTGGAATCGGCCCATTACCGGGAATCCCTAGTGTGATTTCTACGTCACGTGCTGTGACCTGTAGGATCTGTCCTCCATCCAACTGAATATGGCATTGGGTGGGATTGAAATGTTGGATCAACCATGTAAGCAAACAGGATGGCATTGAATGGCATTGTATCTCTAATAGGCCACCAAAGCCTATCTCTCTGATTGCTTCCTTTTTGATGTCATCTAGTTTAGAAACCAGTTTCAACAACTGGCACGGTGAGGATCGGATGGTAATTTCCTACATATAATTTAACAAATGTTTATCACTCTCTGTATTTAATCAGACAATGCCAAAACAATTTACATATACCATATGATCAATGCAATTAAAATTACAACTTCTTACTCGCTTGGCTCTGTCAAAACTGGTACTCTTGCCTAGTTTTTCGATGCTTTCTTTGTAAATCTGCAAGTCCTCTTTATATTTATTCATCAATTGTGCCTTCTCAGCCTCACTAAGTTTTTCCCATGCTTGTTTGGCACTTGCATTCCCCTGTTTAGAACCGTAAATTATGGAGATTCATTATGAATCATTCCACATATAAGATCTCTTAGTCATAGCATTAACCAGATGATTTTATACATAGCTTCCATATAGTTTTTCATTACATGCAACCCCAAAACCAAATTACCTTGCTACCGCAAACTCCAGCTCCATTTTGACCTTTGAGATTCTCAAAATGCTGCTTCCTGTCCATCGAAACAGTACCTATCAGCATCAGTTTATGATATTTTTGTTTCGGTAAACATAGCCACCAATGGCATACAAATCCTAATCACCTAAACAGAATAAATGGATGGATTGGTCGCTTGGGCTTGGTGATATCTTGGTCTTCCTCTCCCCTTCTAGTCCTCTGTTGACCTTTTTCATGAAATTCCTTTAGCTTTCTTTTGCGTGGCATGTTGCATATCCTTCAATATTAAACGCTGTCAACATATTACCAAAGTATTAACATCATTACTTTCCATGCGTATGTAACTGCAAATAACTGTCAATCATCAATCTAAATATGCCCATCATCAGATACAAGTATTCTACCACCTTAAGATAAATATACAAATAACTATTCAACAGATCGTATTAGAGAATTCATAGGTATGTAATGGTCCACCACCATATGTGACTCATGCTATGTATCTTTCAGCCAATTTGGCACTTTCATTTTGTTATTCTAAGACACAAATTTTTGTATATGCTATTCTTATCCTCATTCAAGGAAACACAGCCTACCTGCTAACTCAATCACTTTTTAATCAGCATAACTGTGTTGAAAAGAATATGTAAATTTTCACATGACAGATGTACAATTCCAACTGATATTCTACATTCTCAAACTACATTTTGTCCTTCCTCAATATTAAACACTGTCAACAAAATTACAACAGTATTAACATATGTAACTGCAAATTACTATCAACCATCAATATAAATTTG